ATGAACGCCTGGCTGAACCACCCCAAGAACATTATGAAGGTGTTCGCCGTGATGGCAGCGTGCACTGGATTCGGCTTTTACCTTGCCAAAAACAACGTCACCAACAGACAGCGTGAAGACTTTAAGCGCAAAGCAAGAGAGGGTCAGAATCTGTCTCCATCTTGGCAGCGCAACTACGGATTCAACGAAGCTGATTCATCATCATCATCGGACGCACAAACACAACAACCACAACGTCAATGAACGTAAGGAAGAAGGAAGAAGGAAGAAAGAAGGAAGTAGAGAGTCGTATAGAAATGCTTTTTTGATTTGCTTTTTTATTCTTTTAGTTATACACATACAATTAATGATATTAGATCGACATTCGCTAGACGATAAAGAATTACCAGTTGACGAACAAGAAAGAACAGACACAATGAAAAAAAAACAAGCGCGCTTGACAATGACTGAATCCCGGCCGTGTCGCGCGCGTGTATCTGCTTGTGATGCCTGTCTTCTTTATTTGTTCTTTGTCAACCGATATGTGAACTTCTTTCTCGTGTGTGCAAACTCTCCCAACTTGTGTCCAACCATGTCCTCTGTCACTCGTACCGGGATGTAGTCTCTACCGTTGTGAACCAAGAACTTGGCGCCGACAAAGTTTGGCATAATTGTGCATGCTCTTGCCTGAGTCTTGATAGACGAGCTTTTGGTAATCGCCTGCTTCAGGTTTGGGAAGTGCACAAAATATGGACCTTTCCAGACTGACCGCACCATTCTGCTGTTACTATTGTAATTGTTACTGTTACTGATGAGCGTGTTTCCTCTAACTTGCTGTTACTAGCTGTTAGTTGCCCTTTGTTTTTGTTTTTGTTTTTTTTTAGGTGGTAGATGTGCATTTCTGTGGCTGCTTGTTGCCGTTGCAGTCCGGCCAGCAGTTCAGGCTTATTTTTCCATGCAGCTCGCGCGCGCAGTGGAAATTATTCTGCACGTGCAAGCGAACCTCGCAAGGAAAATCCACAGCCAACCGCTCGCGATCAACACAGATCAGCCTGCTCAGAAATAAAATTTCTGCCCACACACAGTGCCGCCCAGCGCAGGCAGAAGGAGAGGGGAGGGCGAGCAAAAAAGGCGACGAAAAGAAAGAGAACGGCCACAGCGCAAGCACAGAGAGATCAAGAACAGGCCTCGGTTTCCACCCTTTTCAATCGCTTGATCAAAATCACCATCATCACCATCCACAAAGCCTAACAAAAAGGTTTAAAGCACAAACAGATCAATAATGGACGCTTCCAAGACTCAGGCTGTTAAGCTCGCTCGCGTTACCAAGCTGTTGGGCCGTACCGGCTCCCGTGGTGGTGTCACTCAGGTCCGTGTTGAGTTCATGGATGAGACCAACCGCTCCATCATCCGCAACGTTATCGGCCCAGTTCGTGAGGGCGATATCCTGTCTCTGCTCGAGTCTGAGCGTGAAGCCCGTCGTCTCCGTTAAAGAATGTAAAAACGTGAGCGATTCAATAGTATTAAAAAGCAAGCAATACAACCAAAGACTGCTGCGATTATTTGCGAGGGAAAGACATGTACTAGTGTTTAGATGTGTAGATGAAATAGAGAGAGGGGGAAAGGGGGGGGAGGAGACTATCGGTCATGTTGAAAGGTTAGCAAATGTATCGTTTATGTTATATTGAAGCACGTATCCTGACTAGAGATGTATCC